CAGGCCCTACCCAGAATTCTGTCCAGAATTAAGAGAATAGGGAGCTGTGATTAGTACACATCCTGAACTGAACTGCCCCAACCTGCCAGGATAAAGGAGGGCCATGGAGCTGAATAATATACTCCACGTACAGTGGAGGAGAGTCATGTCTTAGAAAGAAAGGCAAATAAGGGGTTTTTAACAGTTTTGGCATTAAAAAGCCATAGTGTTTATAATGACTAAACTTCTTTAGAAAGTATTTACCAACTAAAGTATTTCACCAACTGAAATAGCAAGAGCAACAACTCTTAAGATTTTATTTGAGAGAGACATTAAATGAGAAAGAGAGAGAGAGAGGATGTGTGCAAGAGAGACAATGCAAGAGGGAGCACAAGCAAGGGAAGGGCAGAGGGAGAAGCAGAGCAGGGAGCCTGATGTAAGACTCCATCCCAGGACTCCAGGATCATGACCTGAGCCGAAGGTAGATCCTTAACCCAGTGAACCGCCCAGGTGCCCCGAGACAGCACTTTACAGGAAGGATTTCAGCCAGACTTCTTACTTCGCATGACAGGGCACTCCCTTGAAGAAATTAGGGGAGGGGAGCCCTGGAAGCAGTCAGCTGACAGGCACAACAGCATCCTGTCTGGGCATGAAGCCCAAGGCCTCAGGCCTATTAACAGACCAGCGAGAAAGCTGTAGGAAGGATTTCTGAGGGAACACCGGTGAGAGCACCCTGGGTGAGCAGTCAAGCTGGTGGTACAAGGAGGAAGTCGCCACAGACACCATGGTGGGCTGGCGTGGGCCATTCTGTGTCTCAGCTATGCCCACACCATGTCTGGTAGCTAACAGCTGTGCGCCCAAAGATTCAAGCCAGCACCCAACTCTGACCTCAGCACACGTGCAGCACGGTGACTGGGACCAGAGCTTTTAAGCCAGCCTGGAATCCAGCAGGACATGACCTGTGCGATGAGAGCCACAAAGAAACTGCAAGATCAGGGCCTTATGAGCAATAGACTCCTTAGACCTCTCCCGCCCCAACAACAAAATTTCTCCCAAGTTATTCTGCAAGGTTACTGTCCCCTACCCTAAAAACTCTTTGCTTTTGCTTTCCTTAAACTCACTTGTTCACTCAGCTGACACCCAAGTGACAAGCACCAGACTAGACTGGTGGCTAGTGGCTCCCAGGCTGGGGAGCAGAGTATATTTCCAACATCACAGAAAGTTCTGTTGGGCGACACTGGAATAAATAATCGCTGTTCACATAGGTGAGCACAAGAGACAGGGAGATGTCTGCCCTCTTAAAGACCACAACTGGGACGCCTGGGTGGCTCAGTGGTGGAGTGTCTGCCTTTGGCTCAGGCTCGATCCCCGAGTCCTGGGATCAAGTCCCACATCGGGCTCCCTGCATGCAGCCTGCTTCTCCTTCTGCCTGTGTCTCTGCCTCTCTCTGTGTCTCTCATGAATAAAGATCTTAAAAAAAAAAAAAAAAAACACAATTTGGGGCAAACAACGTTTGATGTTGATAATCAACATCAACAATCAAATTTATAAATAACTGCAAAGTGAACCAAAGGAATCAGGGGTGGAGATGGCTCTGCTTCCAAGACAGGCACATTTGCACATAAAATGACAAAGGCTGAAATAGAAGGGCCTCTGTTTCCCTACAAAGAACATGAAATTCTGACCCAAAACCCAGAGAGCAGGCTCATAGGCTTGAGAGTTGCCTGCAAACTTGGAAACACAGCTCCTCTGACAATTTGCAATAGTATGAGGTCACCAGTGAGGCATCTCTGATCACTTGAGTGGGCTAATTCACAACAAACACAGATACGGAAACAGTAATTCAGTTAGGTTGGGACTTCGTGGGAGCCAGCAATTACTTGTCATGGCTGAGGAATCCCTGAAACAGAGAGAACACAAGCATCTGATGGGCTCGTGTCATGTTCCAGGCTGCCCAGGAAGCTCGGGCCTGAGGTTGTCTGGCCACGTTTGTGGACATCACGGAGCGGAGGCTGGGCAGGGCTGTGGGTGGAGGGCGCGCCCCAGAGGCTCCCGCAGGGGCTCCGTGTTGTCTGACTGATCCCCACCACCTCTCCACCTGAGGCAGGCGCTAAAGAGCCACCAGACTCAGAGCAGGTTTTCAAGGGCCAGACGCTAAACATCAACCAGATGCTGGTGAAAGGGAAACGTACGTAAATTCAGCCTTCTGTTCTTAAATCCAGGAGACATACTCTGTAGGTTTTCTAAAAGCTGCAAGTTTGCTGCAATAAACCCCCAAATTAAACACTGTCACTATTTTAGATGAACATCTTTAAAATCTATTATACTTTCTTGTCTCTCTCAACCTAAGATAGGAACCATCCCCTTTTGTGGTAATATTTGATGATGCCAGGTCATCAGCAGGGAGACACTCAGGCACAGAAAGCACATGACTGTCCCTACTCCCACCTGCCCCGCGAGGACCGGCTTGAGTGACCAGGGACCTCCACAGGTCTACTGGTCCCTGGCTTCCTCCTCTCTGGCTATCAGCTGTCATCACCTCCCACAGATGACCTGTGGCTTCTAATCAGCAACAGGCATGGAAAAGACCCTTGTGCAAAGCAAAGGAGATATGCAGGGCCTCTCCTGCCAGAAAAGTGGAGGAGGATTTTGTGCACAGATTTAGCTCCCCCACTTCTGGAATGCAGCTGAGAGAAGAGAAGGGCAGGTAGCTGCCATCTGGAAGCAGGGCGGCATCTTTGCAGAGAGACAGGAGGGGAAGGTGAACCAAACACAGACCAAGGAGACCCTGCCTGGTTGTCCCAGCAGCGGGTATTTTAAAGCCAAGCAGTTCATAGCTAAATGTCTACTGAACAGACCTGTATTGACTTCTACGAAGGTTCAAAAAGAAATACCGAACTGTGTTACTCTTTTTGAACCTTTGCCCTCTTCCCACCCCTCCTGACAGGATCACTCAGGGGATCCTACCCTGAAGCTGTGACTGGAGACAGACAAGAGCCATTCTAGACTGCTTTAGACGCAAAGCACCATTGACAACACTCAGGAATGAGGACCAGGCAAAATCAGGAAACAAAGCTATTGCTTTTACTTCCAAGAGTCCTCAGCAAACAGAAACAGTGCCCGCAGTGGGGCAGTCCACACGGGGACCCAGACCTCCTGGCTCAGCACGAAGTAGAGCCATGCACTCACCTGGCATGTGCCATACTGCCTGCCGTCCACAACACAGTATGGAAGTGGATGGACACTTTTGCCAAACTATAGAACAACCTGGGCTATTTAAACGGGTGGAGGAAAGGCTCCATGGAATCAAGGGCACTACTTAAATCCATACGCATTTCACCCAAGAATAATCAGATACCACTTGGGGTCCTGCCCTCTTCCCAGAACCAGAGCCCAAGCCACCTCTCCCCCAGGTACCACAAACTAGCTTTGAAAGCCACACAGGCGGTAGCAGCCCCAGAGCATCAGGAGGCTCTGAAGAGCAGGCCTGTACTCCCTGCTGGGAAACCAAGGTTTTTCCCAAGTGTGACTTAGCTGATCAACTCTACACGTTATCATCTGGCTTGTTAATAATTGAGAAGCATTTTGAAATACTTCTGCACAGGTAAGAAACTCAAGTCATACCCAAGTGTACCCTGTTTTACTGTACTTGCTCTTTTGCACTTCACAGATACTGTGTTTTTTTACAAATTGAAAGTTTGTGGCAACTTTGCTCAGAGACTATTGTTGTCCAATAGCCGTTGCTTACTTTGTGTCTTTGTGTAACATTTTGGTAATTCTTGTAATATTTAAATTTTTCATTATTATATTTGTTATGGTGATCTGTGATCAGTGATTGTGACTCACTGAAAGCTGATAGTTTCTTTTGTTTGCAAAATGTATTTTTTAATTGAGGTATATATATATATTTTTTTTTATTTTATTTTTTTACTTTTTTATTTTTTTTTAAATTTTTATTTATTTATGATAGTCACAGAGAGAGAGAGAGGCAGAGACACAGGCAGAAGGAGAAGCAGGCTCCATGCACCGGGAGCCCGACGTGGGATTCGATCCCGGGTCTTCAGGATCGCGCCCTGGGCCAAAGGCAGGCACCAAACCACTGCGCCACCCAGGGATCCCATATATATATATTTTAAAGACATAATGCTACTACCCACTTAGTAGGTTACAGTAGAGTGTGAAACATTTATAAATAGCCTGGGAAACCCAAAACTTCATTTTGACTCACTTTAGTGTATTATTTGCCTTATTGTGGCGGTCTGGAGCTGAAGCCACAACCTCTCTGAGGTATACCTGTACACTATGGAGACACACAGGACACAACCTGGAAATGCCTTTTAACACTCTTGGTTACACCTATGAAACAACAACTCGTAACCTGAAGTCTTCTATTTTGAATCCTAATTCAGTCATATGGAGAATTTCAAAGCAGTATTGTCTGTATTAAGCTGACAAGTAACCAACTCAGATCTTCATTCCAATGTACTCACCTCAGGCTTCCCTCCCACACCACAGTTAAGTACCCACGCGGCACACCAGTGAAAAGGGATTTGGCAGCTTGTATTCAGGGTCTTCAGTGGGCCCCATACGCTGGGGTCCCACTCTCACTCTCCAAGGCCAGCTGAAGCCTCCCATGCCCAACACCTTCGTTTCATGTGAATATGAGGCTGGGAGTTCCCGCCCTGCTCAGACTACGTTATTCATAGAAGATCAGGCCGGTTAGGATATGGAAGATTCCACAAAGCAGAAACTACCGTCTTATTTAGGTATTTCTCGTTGAGATTTCGTCAGATGTTTCAGGAACTGCTGGTGTAATTCAAAAATGATTTTATGTGCTTTGAGGAAAGTTTTTACTACTCATCTGGGAAGTTTTAAAAGCTGTAAACTTCAAACGCCTTTTGATAAAATAACAATCGGACTACACACATCCCAAGTCATTTTTTTATGACAATTTAGGCCAAAATGGAGGCTAAAACATCAAGAAAGCTGGCCCACACTATAAGCAGGGGAACCATAATTACCTGTTTCTCCCCACAGCGCGTCAGTGCCATTGACATCTATTTCGTGTTCCTTCTCCAGCCCCAGCAAGCACTGGACCACCTGTCAGGAGTGGCAAGGTGACTTAATGAGTTCTCAGAGCCGTATGTGCTTATTATATCCCACGTACCAAAGGAGAGAGGGCGTTGTTTTTGTAACCACGATTATCTCACGCCGCACAAGGAGACAAAATATAATGAAAACTGTTTTCAAGCATAATTCATATGCTATTCACATTTTCACTTTGAGAAGAATTAAAAAAAAAAAAAACCCTCAGTGAATTTCAGCAACATTGTTCGAGATTACTAGGTACTCGGAATTCTAATGAATTCCACCATGACCCAAATATGCCAGCCTAATCAACAAAGGACGCGGGAGATCATACAAAGAGCAGTTTCTGCATAAAGCACCAGAAGATGGTGAATCCATTTTTTTCACAAAGAAAACAAAGCAATAATACAGATTTTCAATAAAATAAAATAAATGTTGCCCAGATGATTTTTCTACTGACAACATTCTTCTCTTCCCTAGTTCTTTCTCTTTCTCTCTCATCAGAAAGAGCTTCAGGTCACAGTATGGAGGCAGGAGTGGGGGCTCATGGGGAAGGCATCACGGGAGCCCCAGGCCAGTGCACACCCTGTGCCACAGCGCCAAAGGAGAGCACTGTCGTGTTCCATGCCCTTCGTGGTAGGCTGCATAACGGCCCCAAATATGTACACACCCTCATCCTGGATCTGTGACACTTACCTTATAGGACAAGAGGGAATCTGCAGATGTGATTATGAATCTTGAGAGGCTTCTCCTGAATCTCCTATACATCTGACAAAATCACACTCCTCAAGAGAGACCAGGAGGAACCAAGGTCAGAGGAAGGATATGGGGTGACAGAGGCATAGGTTAAAGGGACATAACATTAAATGCAGAAGAAGGGGCCACTAGCTAAGGAATACAAGGCTTCTAGAAGCACTGAAGAAGCAAGGAAAGTTCTCCTCTAGATCCTCCAGAAGGAACACTGCCTTCCTGACACCTGAATTTCAGCCTTCTGACCTCAGAACTGTAAGAGAATGGGTGTGCATTATTTGAAGCCACTGGGGTTTGTGGTCACTTGTTACCACCGCATGAGTGCACAAATACACCCTCCAAGTCTTCTGGAGAACAAGCCCTGCCCTCTTCCAGGAGATGGTTACTGGCCCCACGGAGGCTGCTTCTACACAGCCTTTCTCCCAGCTGGCTTTGGAACAAACTGAGTATAACACGAGTGGAGACAAATGTCACATCTATATGTGGTATTTGCTGTCCTCCCGATGAGGGTTTTTCACACTCTGTGTTCCCACACAGATTTAGGGAGCACTTTAAAAAAGAAAAAACATCTTCAATTGCTGATTTGGGTATTTAACATGCTCTCTGTGCAGCTACGTATATGGGTATTAAAAAAAACCACATTTATAGCTTTATTTTAAAGGAATAATAATAAACCCATTACCTAGCAACATTTAACCTATTGCTATGAAATATGCACTTTTTAAATGAAGTTACTACTTTTTCCAAAACTTAAGATACATAGGTAAGCTGGCTGGCATTGTTTCATATTTTCATAAATCTCTTTCACATCAGCCTTAAGGGAAGACTGCTATATTCTCCTTTATTTCTGTACTTGTTGTAATATATAGTGTTGGCTTAAATACTGTATATGTATACCTTTAATGTTTTAAATGCCAAAATTAAGCCAGCTTTCAATGCGTCTCTGTGCATGCACAGGTGTGCACATGGGTGTGTGCGCGCCCACATCCCCGTGTCTGCCCTTGTGTCTTAAGTGCCAGTCAGCCAGCTAGCTAGCTGGCTTTGCACCCAAATTCGCGATAAATGATTGTGGGTAGAACCTTAATACTGGCAACTCTAATTGCTTGAGCATAATCCAGAATGAGAAACAGGTGGAAGAGAACAGGTAAAATGTTATTAGATCCCCAGACACAGGGGTCAGGAGATGACAAATCCTCAAAACTCAGAAGTTCCAGCACCTACCAAAAATAAGTGTTCTGTTTAACTACTACATGAGGCTTTCCTTCAGTGCGGGAACTGTGAATGACAAGCATTCTTACACGCTACCAGAACTTTGAAGTCCTATTTTTAAAAATGCTTCAAATACTCAAGAACAATTTTAGAACTAGTGTTCCATGTGATTATTTTTTAAAGATCACAAGGACAAAAGAATGAATCAAAGAGAAAAAGTGGAAGACAGCCACACTGGAGGGTAAATGTAGGACAGAAGAGGAACTGGGATACTGGCAAGAGCAGGCAAAGAACATTAGGAGGCCCCCCACCCTCATATGTGAGTGCGCACACGCACCGAGACCCTGGCTTCCGAGCTCCCTCCGGGAAGGGTGGCACACTAACAGAAGGTCTCGACACACGGTCACACTAACTGCTTTTTCCTGAAATCCTCATTCTTTCATTCCTTATGTGCATCATAGGCTGGCAACTAAGGTGACCGGACACAGTGCCAGACCCACTGAGACATGGCTTTCAATTCCACCAGGAGGGACCTCGTGGCGCAACTCACCGAGCTGTGGCCCATGCTGGCGGCCGCCGTCAGTGCCTGCTGCAGGGCCTGGCTCTTCCTCAGCGCACCCGGCTGCAGAGGGCCTGCCGACCACTCACAGGTCAGCAGGTACCGGAGGATGTCGACGTGCCCCCTCAGTGCGCTGTGCACTAGCGCACACTGGCCTTTCTTATCCAAGTGGTCCACCTGGCAGGCAGGTAAAGGTCAGGGTTTAGTATCGCCCCTCCATGGAGAACCCGGGTGCACCCCAAATGAAGTGCAAAAACCCCAGCCCACTGCAGATGCTTGTGGGGTTCGCCTTCCGATGCAACTTGCTCTAGAGCACTGAATTTCCATTTGAATGACTTCCTTGTAGTAAATGGACCCCAGGCCACCGGGACCCTGTGTAGATCTACTGTCACAGGGCACCCTCAATTCTTGTCTCTCCAGCAAATGACTTAGAGCTCCAAGTTCTCCGGAAGACATGGGTGAGGACACAGATCAAAATCTCAGCTTCCCAACGTTGGTTGCATGAGCAAGCAGTCTCTAATTAAATCTGCTGTGGCAAGCTAGGATTTGGGGGAATAAAACAGTTCTGGTCACTGAACCGGGGGAACCAGCAAAGGCAGGAATCTGGAAACTCTAGCTATGAACAAGGAAGAGCAGGGAGGGACCCTAAGGGCTATCTAATTGGGGAGGGAGGCCACACACAGGCAGATGACCTGGGATATGTTAGCACAAGATTTGGGGCCTCAAAGCCAGGAAGGCCAGCTAGCCACAGTTAGTGTCTAAGTGCTGCTTACCTCCTATGGGTTCAAGAGGCAGCAGAGGATGTGTCATTCCCTGTCTAATCCCAGGAATACTGGACTGGAAGAGGAACCCAGAGACCATCCTCACCCACTTGCAAATTCTGGAGATGCTCTGCACCCCCAACCAAAAGTTTTGCAGGAGCCACCTACATGACACCGAGCCTCCTCCCACAGACCTTTCAGCTGCAATGGGAGAGGGCCTGCCAGCCTTGAATAAAGCTCAGCCATAAAGGGATTATAAGGCAAAGGAGGGAAACTGAGTGGGGAAAAATTAGAGAGAAAGACAAACCGAGAGACTCCTAACTGGGAAACAAAGGGTTGCAGAAGGTGAGGTGGGTAGGGGGTTGGGGTAACTGGGCATTAAGGAGGGCACTTAAGGGCGCCTGGGTGGCTCAGTGGTTGAGCATCTGCCTTTCGCTCAGGTCATGATCCCAGGTCTTAGGAGTCCCGCATCGGGTTTCCTACATGGAGCCTGCTTCTCCCTCTGCTTGTGTCTGCCTCTCTCTCTGTGTCTCTCACAAATAAATAAAGGAAATCTTAAAACAAAAAAAAAATTTTTTTTAAAAAGGGCACTTGATGGGACGAGCATTGTGTGTTATATATGTTGGCAAACTGAATTTAAATAGAAAACATTTTTAAAATCCAAAAAAAAAAAAAAAGCTAAGCCACAATTTAGATGGAGTAACGAAGGTACAGAGTCGTGCACGAATGCACTCACTGGGAAGGCTTAATTGCAACACTCTCCTTCTGTGAGCTAAAGTTCATTCGTCCCAAATGTTGTGTTTTTGAGGGAAAAGCAAAAAGGCTCCCATAGTTGCAATTCTAATTAATGTCTTTTTGTTGAAATATCCTAAATTAATGATAAAGACATAGGATAAAGGATAAGACATAAGATAAAGATAAATATCATAATTAATGATAAAGACAAACACCAGCAATTTATTTCTATTGTTATTCAAAAGCACATCCCCACTCTTCCAATGAAATGCTTATAGCAAACCTGAAGAGTTTACCATGAGCTGGGTACTGTTCTCATTTAATCTCTTAACCTTACTGGTCCTACAGGAACTTGTTTAATGACACAGTTACATTTATTTAGTGCTCGGTCACACAGCTGCCCTGTGCTAGAGACCGTGGTCCTGCTCATTTTACAGAGGAGGAGCCTGAGGCACACAGGCTCCGAGCTGCGCCTACACCCTGGGGCAGGAAGAAGGGAGGACTCTGGGCTGTCCAGCTCCCGCAGGCCGGAGCTCCAGCAGGCCCAAGCACACGGCTTCTGAGAGCCACGGAGTTCACTGTATTGTTTAAGAGACATGAAATGAAATGGAATAGGCTGAAGAGGGGAAAGAACATGAAACACCTAAAATCTTTTCAACCAATCCAGCGCTGTTAAAATCTGTGGCTGAGCTCTAGGTCACCCTTTCCAGGCTTTCGAAAGGATGACCCTCCACTCCCGCCGCCTGTGGCCAGGGGTGTCCTTGGTGGTCTGCTTCCCCTTGGGCAGTACAAGCAGAGTTAAGAGCTTATGAGCAAAACACATGACCCCCTCTCGCCCCAAGGCTGCACCGAGCACCAACATCAGGCAATGGCTGGCACACGCAGCTCACCCTTTCTGCTGATGTGGCAATTTCTACTTGTTGCAATTCGACAAAGTAGAGAGGCTGGCCCCCGATGGATAATTCTGGCAAGGCCAAGACGATCTCCCCCCACCCACCCCCGTCCCCACTCACTAGGGAATGCCACTGGCTTACCCTGGCCCCCTTCTTGGCCAGCAGACACACTAGCTTCATATGGCCAGCAGCTGCAGCATAGCAGAGGGCGGTCATGCCATTCTCGGACATTCCCTCCAGGCAGGCGCCGAATTCCAGGAGCAGAGTGACCACTTCCTCATGGCCGAGGTGAGACTGGACGCACAGGATCGGGGCATTATTTAACACTTCCGTCCTGTAGTTCACGTTGGCCCCTCCCAAAATCAGGAGACGGCTCACCTGTTGGATGATGTCCCCCCAACAAGATTAATTTCTCACGTCAACATCAGTCACGACAGCATTTGTGGAGAGAGACGGCATCCTTACTTTAGACCAGGGGTTCTCAAATTAGAGTGTGCAACAGTACAGCCTGGGAAGGTACTGATGATGCACATTCCTGGTGGTGGAAATCTAAAATGGTAGCTGCTGTGGTAACCCAGGCGGAGCTTCCTCAAGATCTAGCAATCCTGCCTCTGGGAATATATATCCAATGGAAATGAAATCAGGATCTCAAAGAGATCTCTGTACCCCCATGATCATGGCAGCACTATTCACGACAGCCAAGAGGTGGAAGCCAACTAACATGTCTGTGGACTCGTGAATGGAGGAACAGAAGAGGTGCGTCCATGCAATGGAGTATCATCCAGCCCTTAAGAGGAAGGCACTCCCGTCCCGTGCTGCACCTTGGATAAACCTTGAGGCCGTGATGCTAAGTAAAAACATCCAGTCACAAAAAGACAAACACTGTCGGACACTCCTTACATGGGGGTACCTAGAGAAGTCAAATTTAGAGAGAGAAAAGTAGAATGGGGGTTTACCAGGGGATGAAGGGAAAGAAGTGAGTTGTTTAAGGAGGGCAGTGTTTTAGTTTTATGTGATGAAAAAGTTCTGGAGATCTATTGCACAATAATATGAGTATATGTAACACTACTGAATTCTGCTCTTAAAAACAGTTAGGATGGTAAATTTTATGGGTTTTTTTGACCAAGATTAAAAATAAAAAACCCCACAAAAACCTTTTCTTTAAAAAAGACACTTAAAATGCACATCCTCAGGCCCCACTCCTAGAGATTTCAGATTCAGTAGGCCTGGAGTAGGGCCTGAGACTAGGCGATTTAATGAGTTCCCAGATGATATGGATGCTGTTGGTGAGCAGACCACACTCTGAAAACTCACTGTTTAAATGAAAATAGAAAATTCATTTTTCTGGCAATTAATCAATCATCATAGAATTAAAAAATAAATTTTAAAATTTAAATTAAATAAAAATTAAATTAAGTTTAAAAATAAAAATTATATAATTTAACAGTAATGCCCAAAGTAAACGCAAATACTCTTCTTTACAAGGAAGAGTTCCTGAAAGAAAAACAGAACATGTTAAAATGTTCATTGGACTGTCAGCAGCACAAGACTCCCAGAAAAATACTCTGCTTTTTCTGATCACTACATCCACCACCCAATGACCCTGCTGCGTTTTTCCAAAAACTACGCAATCTCTCAATGATTCAGTTGCTTCCTAAGGAAACAACAGTGTGCCATCCCATTCCACCTAATAGGTACTCAGCTAATATGTTGGAAGGTGCACTTTTAGTATTTGCTTGCCGAATTCCTCACAAGACTTTCCCTGGAAGGTCTGTGCTTAGAGGCAGAGCTTTCCAAAAGATAACTGTCGTCAACTCATACTTCATCTGCTTCTTGGGAAAAATATTTCCTTTGTTGGTGTAATGTTGCTGGTATTTTTATCACTTAACCCCCGTCGGTTGATGGCTCTTCCCCTGGCCCACAGTTCTTAACCCTGCTGCACACTGAAACCACCTGGGAGCTTCAAAGTTTCCAAAGCCGGTGGCCCACCCTTGGAGATTCTGACTTGGCCATGGTGCCAAAGGCTCCCAAGGGATTCCAGTTGGCAGCCACGGCTGTAAACACATCAGGTGATAAATGCAGCTGCAAAGCTGAGGCTTGCTCTGAGCCTGGCACCCTTCTGCTGTGTGACTTGGGGCACACTGCCAACTGCCTCCAGCCTCAGTGTCTTCATCTGAAAAACGGACCAAAGTGTTTCACTTCTTGGAGTTGCTGTGAAATTTTAAAAAAGAACATGCCTGGGCAGCCCCGGTGGCTCCGCAGTTTAGCGCTGCCTTCAGCCCAGGGCCTGATCCTGGAGACCCAGGATCGAGTCCCACATCGGGCTCCCTGCACGGAGCCTGCTTCTCCCTCTGCCTGTGTCTCTGCCTCTCTCTCTCTCTCTCTCTCTCTCTCGTGTGTGTGTGTTTGTCTCTCATGAATAAATAAATAAAATCTTTAAAAAAAAAAAATGCCTCACACACCTATAGCCCTTAGCACAGCCCTCAACATCCTGTAAGTGCTAAACAAATATTAATTGCTATTGTCGGTCACCTTTCACAGACTCTGTAGGAACTACAAAACCCTTGGTTCCTGATCCCTGGAAGGCATAGAAGGGAGCTCTATCCCAGGCACCTGGCAACCCAGAGGTACCTCCTGCAGTCACTAGCCCAGAGCAGCAGGGAAATCTCCTGCTTATTTGAGGGGAGATGTAGGCAGCTTCTGTTAACAGCCACCAAAGGCACATCTAGAAGTTCTCAGGTGCCTACAGCAGAGTCTCAGTTCCCTGAAAGTACGCAAAACCTAATAAAAACTCAGTCGACCATTGTTAAAAAGAAAACCACGTCAAAGTGGTGTACCTTGGCCAAGCCACATCCCAAACCGGGGCTTTCATACCTAACGTGGTTGCAGTTTCAACCTCCTCCACAAATGTCTTAACCTGTATATCTGAAATTTTCCGATGAGTACCACTGAGGTAATCTTCCCATGGGCCTTCTCTATCCGCCAGAGGAAGAGGAGGAAACCTGCAGAGGGCCCCTGCCCTTTCTCCTAAGGGAAGGTGACCTTGCCTGGAACGGTCTCGTCTTTACTTTGGCTGTAACTTTCTTCCCCGACTCTCCTTCCTATGAACATCTTGCATTTTGTACAAGATGCCCCTCTCCCTCTATGTGCAGGTGGGATGCTGCCCGAGTCATGAATCCCTTAATAAAGCCAATTACATCTTCAAATGTACTCGGTTGAATTTTGTTTTTTAATATCATGCAATAGATGCCAAATGTTCTTCCACAAGTGGTAACATCTTGATGAGGTTTCTGATCACTACGAGACAGGCTCTTCTGGTGCCTGCAGTCTGACAGGTGGGAAAACAGAGACTCAGAGGGGTAAGGCACAGGTCAGCTCTGCTCACAAAGCTAATTAAGGTCCAGCGGCTCCAGCAGCTCCAGCTAAGGTTACTCTGCATTCAAGGAAGGGGTTTAATGGTTCATCCTACACATTTATTCCTTACCACATAGAAATTTCCTGATCATCACCACATAAGCTCTCCCTGGATAACATCTGGAAATGGCAATATTGCCTATAAACTTCTGGTTTAACAAATGCAAGAAAATAAAAAAGGGGGTTGGGAGAGACAGGCAAAGCCAATGAGATCATGGAAAATAGAAGTGGCATCGGAGCCTCAGTTTTTCAAGTACCCCACAAGCTCACAACAACACAACTGTTTTACACCTGTCTTGCCTAATTGTCATGCAGAATATGACTGGATCCTTTCCTTCAAGGGAAGTCAGGCCAAAGTTCCTGCCTCATTCCTGTTTCCTCTTCCCCACCTCTGCCTTGGCTGGAACAATCACAGCCTGAATTTTCCCAGTCCACAGCCTTGGGAAGCCCTTGGCTGGCTGCCACTCATGTGTGACCGTGTGAGCAAAACCACCCGCTGGGTGAGAGCCTAGAGGCACAGGTGGCCTGGACCTCAGTGGGCTGGCATGACCCTGGCCTGGTGAGCGGAGACTATATTGCTAGAAATCACTGGCATGCCAGTAAAATTAAAATTCATCTACGAAGTAATCATTCTGGTGCAAGTCACTTTAATTTACCAAAGTGGCAAACTGCAATTATTGCACAAAATGACATTCATTCCTGTATGACAACATTTAATAGTCTCTAAAAAAAGTTCCTTAATTGCATGCATAATTTTAAATTACTGTAATTTGTTCAAGATTCTGTGAAAACCCTTTTCTTTTTCCTTGAAAGATAAAAGAAACGGAAGGATAATGGAAAGCCTTAAAATTCTATAACCAAGTTATAAATTTGGGCATCGTGTGGATGTAGGTGACACTGGAGTTGTATAAAACAAAGATAAATAACTCTTAAATTTGTGAGTATGTTGAAAAGGAAAGTCTACTATCTCAGGAGGGTCAAGCTCATTACATTCTTACGCTGTACCTTTCAGTTTACTGCCTTAAAAACTCATACTCAACAGGGTATGACACTTCCCATTGACTTTTCTCTATGTTAAGAGTAACTTCTTCTGTGCCTGTAATTCATTCAGGTAGTGAAACCAGATGTTGCCATTTTTACTATTTTTCTTCCTCGTCATTACAGAATTTTACCAATTACAGAGAAGCCAAAAGATATACTTTTAGCTGAAATGAAAGATGAAACAATGTTATCACAGTAACCTCAACTCTCATTTCTATAAAATTGAAGTAAAACAAAAATTCTTAATATGACTTCTTCACCGCGTGAAATCTAAATTCAGCCACGTTCTCCACCTTTCCTTGCTTCTGGGAGGAAGACTCCCTGTGATCAGTAAGAGCTAGCTCTCCTGAACTACAGGAACCAGCGTCCCTATCCAACGACCTGGCAAACCATTCACATGGGTTCCGTCGGCCAGTCCGGGAAGTGAGGGAGCAGGGCAGGGCACCCAGTGCCTGTGAGCAGCTCTCCAGGGTGCTTCACTGTCAGGTGCCCAGCCAAGAGGGGAGTTAGGCGGAAATCCAAGGTGCCCTCTGCTCATTAAGCCTGGAGCCCTAACGGGGCTGAGTCTGCCTGCACCAGGCACTGCTTCTATCTTGGCAAAGCCCCAGCGTGTGTCCATCTGGGCACGGCGGCCTTTCTCTGACCAACACCAAGCTGCCGCACAGGGCATCTGGGCTCCAGCAGAGCAATGCCACATCCTGCACCTGGGCTCCTCAGTCTGCTCATTCTACCCTCTCCAGGCACCAGGAAGGCAGACGAGGTAGAAAGAGGGCACAACTCTATTTACCCACGAAGCATTCTGCAAGATCCACACTCCCAGATGCACAGCTGGGGTGCTGGTGCTGGGGGCAGGATGGGAGGACAGTAGGGGTGGGGGAGTCCCCCAGAAGCGTCCCCAGGACACTCTTTACGTGCCGCCCCCACCGACTTACTATACTCACCCTTCATGCTACTGAGGGGGGGAAAGGAATGACCGTGTTCACGGAGGTGTTTGAAGGGGAGGACCTGGCTCCCAGGGAAAGCACTTCAGAGGTTCTGTGTGCAGCACGGCATGTCAGGGCCTGGGGCTGAACGGCCAGGAGGCTGGCTGCCATGTCAAGTGGGAGACATTCATGATCTTTCTACTTTGTATTAGACAAGATGGCTCTAAGCTGCTGTAATGCACACCAGTCATCCCCACACTGGTTTTGGGAATTAGCCCTTCCTTGTTGTCCAGACACTTGGCCTTCACGTGTTTTAGGTTCTTAGATATGGTTAAACAAGGAAGAAAATCTACTCTACAAAGCACAGCAGAGTAGTGTGACAGTCAGCCACTGATCAAGAGTGAGGATGCTCTTGCCCAACAGCGGGCCAACTGCTGCTACGTGCTGCGTGATCACAAATACACATCTACACATGACTCTTAGCAACAGTGTTTTCTCTGTGTACCTATTGCTTCACTGTCGCTCATCAAGCTTAATTTCCTATGAACCATAAAGAGACAGTCCAGATTAGAAACCCAGGACGCTTAAAAAAAATCTATTTTCCCTGGAAATCTCCCTTTGACCTTTGGTTTCCTTTGTGCATTGCTTCCTTATCACATCCGCTCTGAAAGAGTCATCACGTGCTCACACGGCGGCCCACATTTTCCTGCCCAAGCAAAAGCTAAACTTCTAGAAGAGAACCAGTAATGGGGCACTCAAAGCCCATGAGATTTAGACCAGGGAAAAAGCAGCATTTGGAGCTCTACTAGCCCCTCGGGCCATCACCTGGGGAAGGCAGGGGGAGGCAGGACTGCTGGAGGGATGTGGGCGGGGGTGGAGGGTTCTGGCTCTCTGTGCAGGGGTTAGCTCACCTTCACGTTAGGAGTGTAGAGGTTCCTGAGAGAGGCGAGGGCAGCAGACAGCCCCTCGGTGCTGTACCCGATCCACAGGGCTTGGAGGTGGCTCGAAGAGATTCCCGTCTTCTTACTGAGGCCCTGGAAGCAGTACGAGACAAATGGGCATCATCATCTCCTTTCTAGGGTGCATCAGGCTGCAAGGGGTCCCCCTGGGAGGGTGCAGCCAGGCACTAACGGAGGGCAAATGCTTGGGCCCAAGGACAACGGACCTAGGAGCCTGACTTCCCTCTAAAACCAACAGTCAAGAAATGAGCCCACCTTTGCTACATACACTACATCTGAGGAAAGAGATGGCAATGAGGAGAACGTTTCTTGTATAGAAGTTCCACAATCAAAGGAAGAACAAACATTGGAATATCACCATCCTATAACCTTCCATGAAGAATCCAGTAGTTACTGGTAAAAAGTCGCTAAGAGAAGTAAGCACAAATTTATACCTCCTGATGCAAGAAACCCCCTACAGACTTAGAGTTTAAACTCTAAAGTAATTGTGACACTCTGCCCACAAAAAAAAAAGAGAGAGAGAGAGAGAGAGAGAGAGAGAGAGAGAGCGCGCATGCGCAACAATCAATTCTGAACCTGATTAAGCCTCTAGATATAACTACTACCTGATAGGAAATCCAGAGCAAAGAGAAACATGTTAAACTAGTCCATGAGAAATAAGGACACGATGAGAAAATCCAGGGTGTGCGATACTCCACAGGTGATAGAGCTCAGGCTCCTCACCAACCAAATGACCAAGAAACAAAGGGGAATGAATGAAATGGAATCTTGACGTGAAAATGAACTTTTTAAGAGATTCAAAGGAAGAAAAACAAATGGGGCTCCTGGAAAGCTCTGGGAGGGCTGAGAGAGCTGTTGAAAATCTCCAAAAACAAAAACCTTCAAAATGATGACGAAAGCCTACCTCGCACGGTGTGCCTCACCTTGAAGATGTGCGCCTTCAGTATGTGATGGCCAAGCTCCATGGTCTGCTGGCGGTTCAGCTTGCCCTCTTGTCGAGAGAACATGAATGCCAGGAGAGCGTGCCCATTCCTAGAAGAAAAAAACATAAGGCTGGCAACAGAAGACCCCATTCCATGAATGTAGGCTCTCAGGTGTGTCAGGTGTGAACATCTCCACACGGTTCTGAACTGTTCTCCTGGGGCTTCAGCATCACCGCACAAAATAGGAGAAAAGTTGCCTCTTGACAAAAGACGGCCAATGCTGTTTACTCTTCACGTTATTTTAGGCCTTTCTCTGGATCCCCCTCACTCTGTGGCGTGACCTCTATGTCTATAAACTCTAGCACAGGGCAGGTCTTTATCTTTGGAACCACCCACTCTCTGTCCCTCATCCATCACTCATCACCTTGTTTATTTACATCCCTCACAAAAATGTAAATTCCACAAGATTAAGGGTCTTGCCTAAGGCACATGGATAGTCACAATCCTGAGCAAATGCCCGCCCCTTAGCAACCATTCATATATGTATTTCTTGGATGGAAGGATGTACAGATGGAGTAGAACCATCACTGGACCCAGAATTCAAGCCCCCCCTCAGCATAATTACCACTGGGAGTAGATCTGGCCAAAGGAGAAGACCAGAAAATGAGAAGGAAAGAAAAATCAAGCCATGCAAAGTAACAGCTCACAATGAGAAACACCTAGAATTCTAGGCTTGGATGCAATACAGTTCCTTGTCACGGGAAGAAAGCTAAGATGTACAAGTGGGCTTGCTATGTCTGAGCACACGGTGGACATTCAACTGACACTACCAACTAATCCCCCACTAACCCTTTCATGAAGGAGCCATCCTACCCAGTACGGCTCCCCACACCTACAAGATTCATTCTGCCTCCTGTGGGCTGTATGCCTCTGTGTGAGCCAATCTGGGAAAGATGCTAAGAGTTGCTTACCCCAACAGCAGTAACTTCTATACAATGTGAATTATTCTCATTTCTATTCTACCTGACAATTCTGAGATGCTGTTTGGGGTTGGGGGAAGCAAGTAGTTGTAGAGAAAAGGATAAAGATCACAAAAAAAATGCATTGACTCAAATGTTTTCTGGTAGGTGCTAATCCAGATGATCAAAAGCATGCATCACTTAATACTGTTTAGCTATCCAGTTGCATGCCTATTTTTCAAATAGGTTATAAACCATGTTAGAGGTGAGGAAATCAAGGCAAGTGGAGACCAAGAGATTGCGAACAGTGTTCTGTACGATGTCTTCTAAGGGACCAGAGCTCTTCCATGAGCACACATCCTGTGCTGCTCTGCACACACTCCACCTCCCAGACTTCAATCTTGGGCTTTCCTTCTCAGATGAGATCCTCCCATGTTCCCGCCCCTCCTGCTGTCTGCCACCTGCCAGCGCTCCAAGACCCCATGCCCTCCCTAGTCCATACCAGGGGCAGGTCCCAGAGTTCACCCCGGCCCACATCTCCCAGCCATAAGCTAAGTGATCTTCAGTCCCCCAGTCTGCCAAGCTCAGTGGCCAGGCCAACCGTGTCCACCACACAGACATGTGTGGCTGAGTACCACGGCTGCCTCTTATAGGGGGATGACCATGCACCCTTCAGGGGCTGGAACAAAGGCTTCTACTCATCTCAGCTAAGCATGTGGCTTCCTGCCTCTCTGAGGAGACAGTTCACCATGTAATCACTCAATACCTGCATTCCTCTATATCCCATTTACCTTTTCTTCCCGCCATCCTGGTCTCAGGATCACGTGCCCCCGTAAGTCTACCTGCACTCATAAGTCTGTTCATTTTCTAAAGCTGCTATATGTCAAGCTTTCACTATATACGAGATGCAAAAACTTAACTGAATTATTTCATTAATCCCCACAACCCTGTGAACCACTAAGTATAATAATTCCCAGTTTGTTTACACGAGGAAATAGAGCCCTGGACAAGTTAAATGATTTGCCCAAAAGATCAAATAGCTGGCAAACAACATGGTGGCGATTTGAACCACAGTCTCTCCAGTGCAAGAGCATACTCTTGATCAGCTCACCATGATTTCTCATTCATTCATTAACATCCATCTCATAACCTGCACGGTACTTGATACTGAGGATTCCCTGGGGAACAATGGGAGGCGCTTCCCTGGAGGAGCTCTCAGCAACCAGAGGAGATGCGCTGTAAACAAGATTCGGGAGAATGGCGCCTCGAAAGGCCTCAACGGGAATACAGAGGCAGCAAGCTGCCTGCACTCCCTGCCCCCATCCCCTTGCATTTCCAACATCTCCTTCTTCATGAATTATGCTGCCCCACGTGATCTCAACACCATCTCCATCTCCTGTGTTAAAAACAAAACCTCTCCCCTCCACAAACAGTCCTCAGCAATCACGATCATCAGTGGCTTTGAGAGGCATCAAGACATTGTGTGCTTGCTGATCCTCTCCACCCTTCTACCCCCCATCCCAGGAGGTTGGCTCTCTCCTCTTCTACCTCTCACTGCCGGATGGAAGGAATGTGTAAGGATGGAGGACCGCCTCCCTCACTAGGAAGCCATGGGCTCCCTCTTAGTCTTCATCTCCCTTCAGTTCTCAGCAGCTCCTACAACCCGACCTCCTTCCTGGAATCCTGCTCCATGCCCCAGACGTCAGGAGCTTCCTTTCGGATAACTACTCTTCTTCATCTGGCCCCCTCACCACTTCTCTCATCCATGATGCTGCATCTTCAACTTCCCCAGCCTTCAGACCCCCCTGCTCACCCCACCATTGGAACCTGTCCAGTGTGGTTCTGCTGACCCCACAAGCTCAAGTTGTGTTAAGCAAAAGCCAGCTCCTGCCCTACAAAACCTGTTCCACACTTCCTGGTTTTCTTACTCTAAGACCAGTGCCACTCTTGGTTTCTGAGGCTTAACACCTCAACATCCTCTATAGCACCTCCTTCTCCTTGACTCTGCTCATAAGGCCACACTGGGCCCACCTGTCTCCTGTCAGCAGGGCCAGCCTCTACCCCTCTGCACCCCCAAGCCAGGTTACACAGATCCCTATGCTCCACACACCACATCCTGGGCCATGTAGACAACTGGCATTCTAAACCTGCTCAATTACGGTTCTCCACAGATGACTGAGTAAAGTCCACTCTCCCTAGCACATCCTTCTGTTAACTCCTCCATTCCTTGACAAAAGCTCTGGCCAAACTAGACTTGTTGCCAGAATAAAACTTGCTCATTCTGACATGATGCCTTGGACAACTCTTCTTGTCTGCAATAGCCTCATTCCACCTATTGAAATCCTATCCATTCATTCCTCAAGTCCGTGACATGTAAAAAAGAGAACAGATGGCTGTTCAAATTTTAAAACCCCTTGTGCAACCCTAACGAACTGATGGATCTGAGAAACAATCATCAATGGCTCTGAGAGACATTAAGACATTGTGGGCATGCTGACGGAAGCAGACCTACCACTTATTAAATATCCTTGCAAAAAATATTTCAAGATAAAATCTGATCAAGTCTCTAGATTTAACTACCAATTTCAGGAAATAGAGGTGATAAACACATTAAATACCACGAAAATGCAACCCGCAAAATTCAGATTATGGGAAAACATCCAGGACAAATTACTCTGTCATGCTTTTTCTTTAAGATAGAGAGTGCAAGGAGGGGTTGGAGACAGAGGGAGAGAGGGAATCTTAAGTAGGCTCCATCCCCAGTGCAGAGCCTGACAAAGGGCTTAAGGCTAGATCTCACAATCCTGAGACCATGACCTGAGCTGAAATCAAGAGTCAGGTGCTTCACCAAATGCATCCCCCAGGTGCCCCTTTGTCATTCTTTTAAAGAAGTGCAAGGACAAAGCAAAAAGAGGAGGAGGAGGAATCTATAAAGTATTTTTTTTTAAATGATAGTCACACACAGAGAAAAGAGAGAGAGAGAGAGAGAGAGAGAGAGAGAGAGAGAGGAGAGGCAGAGACACAGACAGAGGGAGGAGCAGGCTCCATGCACCGGGAGCCCGATGTGGGATTCGACCCCGGGTCTCCAGGATTGCGCCCTGGGCCAAAGGCAGGCGCTAAACCGCTGCGCCACCCAGGGATCCCAGAATCTATAGATTAAAAGACACCATAAAACACATTTCATAGATCTGAATCCTGATTCAAACATACCAGAAAAATATGAAGGAAGTAGAGAAATTTGACCACAGCTAAATCTGTGATAATACTGATGAATTAGTATTAATATTTTAGGTGTGGCAATGATGCTGTGGTTAAGTATGAATAGGTCTTTTTGAGGTCCATAGTCTGTTATTTAGGGATAAAATGTCATGGTACTTACAACTTATTACCAGAAAAAAAAAAAAAACAGATGTAATGAAATGTGAATGATGTTTAAGTTTAGGTGATGTGTTGGGACACCTGGTGGCTCAGAGGTTAAGCATCTGCCTTCGGCCTAGGGCGTGATCCTGGGGTCCTGGAATCAAGCCCCACATTGGGCTCCCTGCATGGAGCCTGCTTCTCCCTCTGCCTATGTCTCTGCCTCTATCCCTCTGTGTCTCTCATGAATAAATAAATAAAATCTTAAAAAAAAAAGTCTAGGTGATGTGAATGAAGACTAATCAACTTATTCCTTTATCTTTTAAATTCTGCTCCTGTAATTCTAACTCAAGGAATAATCAGACCTGGGAGGAAAATTCTATTGCTTTCCTGCAAAGCACCAAGATATTCACAATAGGTTTCTTCATTTATAAGTAAACCCAGAAACAACTGCCAGGCCCCACAGTAAGGGTACCATAAAGCACATTATCATTCGCCTATTACAAGGTTTGCACAGCTCTGAAAAATGATCCTTTACTAAGATGCTCGCTAAGCAACCGAACTGCTCGCTAAGGGTCCATGATGTGTTAAGGAAAAAACAAAAAAGCAGTTTGGGGATTTTAATATAGAAAAGTTCATTTGGCGAATGTTTGAAATGAATGGAAAGTGAAATGTCATTGTGTCTGGGTGTTGGGTTCTTCTTTGCTGCTTCTCCATAATTGGGGCTAAATTACAACTAACTGGGGTGGGAAGAGAAATGCTACCCATCTTTCAAGGTCCAACCCAAATGTCCTCATGTATGTGAAACATTTTCCAAAAATGGTCTTCCCTAGCTGGAAGCTTCTCCCTCCTGAAATTCATGTGTGGAGTGTTTTCCTCCCACATGGTCACCACTATACCTCCCCGTCCTGCATGGGAAGCCCTTGAGAGCCAGGCCCTTGTCCCAGGAATCTCTGTATTTGCCACAGTACTCTGTACGTGGTGGGTCTGCAAAAACTTTTGCTGAAATGCATCCAGTAGCATAATTCCACCATCTCTATCTGCTAAATGAAGTTTAAGAGCTACAGGGGTCTTGGGTAAATGCTGATGCGTACAATCCCAAGAAGGAGCAACTGCTTATACTTTGCACCCTACACATCTCTCCTGCCCTGGTCCAGTCCTGGTCCTACCCTGGCTAAGTCCCCATGCCTGCGTATTGGAATGCATCAGCACTCAGAAGCCTGTCATTTCGAGTATACATCTGCCAAGCACGGGTGGTCAGCTGTGCCCTAGGATGCATAACATCCGTGCCACCTACCACCCAAACCACAGCAATGCTTTACAGTGAATCCAGTCCAACTACCTCTGCTTCTAACCCCAGTAACAAATCTATATGCCCTGAAGTCTTTCCATTTGTTTCTCAACTACTACAACCTATCTTCCTAGAAAATGATCTCACTCGGCTAAGTAAGCCAAATATAAAATGGCACACATTTCATCTAGTTATTATAGTCTGGCTAAATAACCCAGAAGTTACAGTTCTTTGCCACAAACCAGACCCAAAAGAACAAAACTTTAACCCAATGTTACCTAAGAAAACAACACTATGCACAACATGAAACAGCCAGACCTGTTAGGTCAATGTTAAGTCAGTCCTCATGGGAGAAAGGTGGTGTGCAGCTCACAAATGCTTATTTACCATCTCATTTCTGGTCAAATGCTCGGTTCAGCTCATAGGGGACAGTCCAGCGGCTTGCTGGCCCTGTTACAGGGGCAATTCCAACTCACGGGCAGCAGAAGCTATCAATACAGCAGTGATGCAGGCCAGGGCCAGGCAGAGTGGTGGGACAGGTACCTACCCTTACACGGAGATGAAAGCATCTGCACCCTCACCCTCCCTGACCTCGCACTCTGACTAGCACAAGGCTCCACAGGGGGCAGGCTTAGCCGCTCCCCTCCCCTGGGCAGTGAGGAGAACTGCATCCTGGGCGCCCGCAAATCCTCAGGGGAACCTTGTGCTAGGTCCTAGATGCAGCTGCCCCAGCATCATCTTGTAAACGGGTCATCTGACATCTGAACCTGAGTCCTGCTGAGCCCGAATCCCAATGTGTTACACCATGCTGAACCACAAATGCAAAATAAGGCAGCCAGATGTGATCTCTGTGCTCCTCTCTGGGCCCGTGGACATATCTGGACCCTGGGACAAGATGCTGCGTGCCCAAGAGGTGGCAAGGGAGCAGTGGTGCTGGAGGTCAGACTGCAGGTGAAGAAACTGAGCTGAGAGCAGCCTCTGGAGAAGCCTGCTGTTCCCCGGAGCCAGCACCACACTCTCCCATGATTCCCATATAAAGGGCCCAAGGTCTAGAAGAGAAGGGATGGCAAAGAAAGGTCACCAGGTGTTGCCTAGCTTCTCTCTCATCAAATATACTGAGAAATCCCAAAATTCTAGCAATGGAAGGAAGCTTTTGTTTAGTATGCAGGATATTCCACTGCCCTACTGAATTATTCACTGGGTGTTGCCTTTCTATTAAAAAAGGTGAACTATTGGAGGGAAAGGGGGAGAAAAAGGTGAATTGTGTTTGAAGTCCCTTCCGCAGTCGTGTTAGGCTCCCTGCAGAGCGGACAGCAAGGGCCGCCTACCTGGGCTCACACAGGAAGGCTGTGTTTTCACCGTCTGCTCTCCACACAAGCCACTCCCTGAAGGACGGGTGGCAAAACATGCGGGTTTTGTCTCGCCTCTTAATGAGGAAGCAGGAGAGAGCCTCCATCCTCTGCTGGAAGTCCTCCCATCCCTGCTCCCCTTGGATGTGGCCCGCATTAATAGCCTGGAAGATCTGCTCGTCCGTCATGGGGTGGAGGGAAGCCAGGGCCACGTTTAGAATCGGCAGCGCTCTTTCGAAGGCGGACTGGGTCATGAACTTCATGTTGCACTGCAGCAGATAGAGCTCGGACAAAGACACAGGCACCACCTTGTAGCTAGCACTTTTGATGACCAAGTGTCCCCTTTGGAAGAGGTCCAGGGTGAGTTTGAGGTACAGGTAGGAGCCGAGGCTCCGCAGCACCAGGTGGCTGCTCACTTTCCCGATCAGGGCAGCGTCGGCCTTGCCGTTCAGGGAGATGTTGCTGAGGATGTCCTGGCTGCTGTGAACCCTGTGCTGGACGTAGGCATGCAGGTCACTGTGAATGTCTTTGTTGTCCGGGAAGTCATCTAAGGAAAGCTTGACGAAAGGCAGCGTGCTTACAATTTCCTGCAGAAGGAAAAAAAAAAAACCCAAAAACTCACGGTGTCACTCCACAGAGATTTCTTTTCTTATGTTTGCTGCATTTCAAACCAGATTCACTAGTTTTCTTTCAAGGAGGATTTTCATGGATTACAGGGACTCATTGTTTTGTATTAAAACATGTAATAGGATAAGTTGAAGATAAAAAGCTTATGTGAAAGAAATCCTGATGCAAGATCGAATCAATAATGGCTTTCCCGAAGCCCTCATCCGAAGACTCAGAGCCAAGGGAGACGTAAGGAGCCCCAAGCAGACAGTGGCGAGCTGGCCACACCAGCAAAGCGACAGGGAGACCCTGAGGTGACCTGATACCCATAATCCTTATATTGTGCAGAGGTTATACAACAAGGAAAGACACAAACCAGCACTGTGTATCTAAGAACACGGCCAGACATTGAGATAAGAGGCATCCCTCATCGTGCATCAAATACTGGGACTGCAGGACTGAGCCAGGAAACCCGAAACTGCCCCAGCCCAGCCTGCCCTGACAAAGCTGCCTACCTTCAGTATAGCCTACCATCTATTTTTTTTTTTAAACTGCTGTTCTTCCAAAGTAAACTTTTAAACAGAAGTATAACATACAAACCATCAGTACATGGGGTCATTAATTTTCACAAAGTCAAACATATCTGTGTAACCAGCAACTAGAAACTGCACCTCATCAGCTCCCCGGAAGCCCCATGTCCCCTCCTATCCCGCTCCCCTCACCCTAAAGATGAGCACTCTCCTGATACCTCATAGTGGAGAAGAGTTTTTGGAGTTTGTTTCCTTAAGCTTCCCACTATCATTTCTGAAGAATTTAACTCCATGTCCCCATTGAATGTAATAATTACGGGGGCAGGCTGAGTTAATTGCTCCCATTTTACACGGATGCTAACAAACCTGTGAGAATTTACACAGCTAGTACAGAAAATATAGGACTCCTGTTCTTTTGCTCTGTCGATTGCCAAATTCTGCTTCCTGTGTGATAAATGACTGCAAAGGGTAGGAATCAAATGGCCATAAAAACAAACATCAAGCTTGGCTGAGGCCTAATGCCACTTTTAATGAGAAAAGAAAGAACTCAAATGCTATTTTTAAATAGACATCATAAAAGGGCAAAAATCAAAATCTAAGAGTAATGTCTTTACTAAAAAAGGATAAGGGTAGAGGGAAGGAGTCAAAGGTTGTTAAGATAGGATTTAGGGTTCAAACGAGGGGAAAGATGAGGAAGAGAATTTAAAAAAAAAACTCATCTGGCTGCAAGTGGTTTAAGTTTTATGAGGAAAATAAAATGGATCTTCTTTAAGGCCTTAAAAATCTTTCCTTTGGGGGAAAAAAAAATCTTTCCTTTGTCTCTTCATTAAAAAAACAAACAAAAAAAAACACAAAGTCGCACTGCAACCCCATACAAATACCTACCAGTATGAATAAATTTTTTAAAATTTTTTTTAAAGATTTTATTTATTCATGAGAGACACACGGAGAGAGGTGGAGACACAGGCAGAGGGTGAAGCAGACTCGCTGAGGGGAGCCTGATGTGGGACTCGATCCCGGGACCCAGGATCACAACCTGAGCCAGGCAGATGCTGAACCTGGATGCACCCAGGCACCCCAGTAGGAATTAACTTTAAACTCTAGTAGACAAACTGAATTACATCCAAGGCTGGACACCTGCATTATGGAAGTGCAGGGACAGTGCAATGCTAAGAGCAGACTTTCCTGACACCTTGATTCATGTGCCTCGGAAGGTAAAAAGGTGCTTGGTTTCACCCATTTGGGGCTTTGTGAACTAAATATTTCAAAGTCCTAATATAGTTTTCAATTCAGCAGCTAAATGCTTTATAACCGTTTATGTTGTTAATCACACCGTAAAATTTGGGTACGGGGTCTTGCAAAGAGATTGGAGAATTCTTTCTTACCTGAAAATTTGCTCTTACAGTCACAATCAACTTCAGCCAGGCAGGAAATTTAGAAATAATTTTGGTAATAAATGAGGAAAGCGTATCTCCATAGTCAGGTTTATGAAACTCAGCTTCGTTTAAGCCATCTATCAAAATAATGTATTCTTCTTCAGGAATTTTCTGCTCTAAAGGATAAAATAATTTTTTAATTAAGAAATTATACATTTCTACAAAATGGCACCACCCAGTGTATTTTAATGTACACTTTAAAGCGTTAAGGAAAACTAAAAAGGTTTACATGTATTGCAGAAGAAATGATTTTCACAGAAGCATATTTTCTATTAAATTTATAATGAAAACCAAAGCACACATCCAAGAGAAAAACAAATCTTATAAAACAGTTTTCAGAAACATATTGCATTATACACATTAACAGGATTTCACCCAGGTATATAGATACAGTTAGCTCTTCATAAACTCCCGTCACTGGGGTGAGCTACAGCTAAGATAACTAGCACATACAGAGATTAACTCTGGAAAAGACTCTGGATCCTCCTCCATAGAACTCTGTCAATGGATGCCAGGAATAAAAACTGACCCTTAAAGGAGAAGCATCTGGCCCAAGGCACACAGCCAGCCAGTGGAGAGAACTTCTCTTTTATAGATGTCTAAAACAGGACGCTTCAATTGGTTTTCCACTTATTAACACCAATTTTCTGCCCAAGAAAATGAGGAAAAATGATGACTTATCTGTTTCAATCCCCTTTTCTCTAGGGAAGTGCTATATAGGCAGGTAAACTAAGCTCAAAAGGTGAGGAACCAGGAGGAGAAAGGGTAAGAAATACAACCTGTAAAAGCATTAAGATCCCCTACCTGGTCAGTTATTTCAAGGGCAAAAAAAGAGAGAAATCAAATAGACACTTCTAGAAAAGCCTTTAGGTTCAACTCAACTGAGCAGAGGCCCTGAAAAAACCTATGCTGGCAAGTTCCCCCCTCAACCAGTGTACTCCCCCATTAGGTAGGAATGAATATAAAATATGCAAGCAACAGTTTCTAGGGCATAAGTCATCTAAATAACCTCCGGTTACAAATTAGCTCCTTTGGAAATACTCAACTGTAGAGTTAATTATTAGAGAGGTTTCCTTTAAAACTACATCACTCAAGAAGCATGGAAGAGCTTCAGGGAGATGGTTCTGGGAAAGAGCACACAGATTCACCCACACCCTCCCGGGTACCCGCCCTCACTCCCACCCAAGTCCCTTGAAGGACTTTCCTGGGGACTCTAGGCTCCTAACAAGAGAGAGGGTGTGGGTGGCTGCTCAGAAGTACCATTTCTTAGGCTGGTGAGTGGTTCCAGCACGCCCCTCCTGAAGGCAGCCACCGGGTCCTGCACACAGGACCTGAGGCTCAGCATGCTCTGTAGCTGGGGTTCCTTTATCAGTAGGTCCCTGTAGGCAGCCAGCTGGTGGGACCGGCAGAGCAGAGCTGCAATGCTGTGCACAAACTCGGGCACCAGGCACGTGTATGTGTTATCAGCTTGGCAGTAGTGGTAGGCCACGACCTATGCAAGAAGCAGAGCCATCAGCATCGCCTTCCCCTCCTTCACAAGCTCCCCCCACAAACCCAGGCAGATGCGACGTTCCCATCTGCCACAGCAGTGAAATATGTTGCTTCTATTCACCAACACGGAGTCATTATTTTGCTTAATTGATTCAGTTATTCTCTTATTCACACGGTTTGCCAAGATCTGGGCAGACTTTTAATTGCAGCCACAAATCCATCGTGATTAGCACTGAGATCAACACCAGTTACTCTGTATTGAAAATAAATGAATAAAACTCATTCATAAAACCTAAAGCCTACCCTGGCTTACAGCAATTCCTAATAATCCCAAAGTACTCAATATCCAGAAGTGCCATATTCACTTCACTTCTGCTTTCAAAACAGCAGCATTTCCTTGGGAAACTGTATCTGCTTCCCCCATACCAGGTTAAGCTGGCAGCTAGGAAAGTCGTGCTGAAAGTCACAGCTGCCTTCTTTCCTAGGCAGGAGGGCCGGGCGGCCTGGCTCAAACCCTCAGCCCCCACCCCACACCTGGCACTGTGGAGAAAATCAACAACTACACGGTTTGTAGGACCAAAATCAGAAATTACCAAATGTCTGCCAATCACGTGAAGGGACACATAGGAGGAGAGGGGTTCCTGCCCAAGCACTTAAGGGATGAGTTGCCGCCTCTGTTGGGATGGATTTGAAGTGGCAGCAGGCCACTCGTTAGAGAGTCCAAGGAAAGTGCCAGATGCAGAACTGTCTTGGAAGAAAACTGCTGTAGATACATGAAAACTCATACCCTTCCACATGTGAATAAAGGGAGGAACAGGGCTATGAGGCAAGAAGGGTGAAAAAGGTAAAAATGTATTTGTACTTCCTGTTCTTCAGAAGGGCGTGAGTGCCTGCTGTTTCCCTGAGTGCTACACAACTCATGAGGTCTGGTTTACAGCTGACGGCGGCACCCAGGTTAAATGCCTTGCCAGGGTGACAGAGGCAGTCAAGGGACGTTCTGGGATTAGATCCCAGGTCTGCAGACCCTTAAAAATAAGTGGCAAAAGTAGATGTGGCCAAGTCGGAAATGTCACGTGACTTCTGTTCTAGCTTAGATGTATCATCAACACTCCGAGGACAGCCGACTGCTCTCCCACCTTCCCCTGGACTGACCGCGGGAACACGGAGGAGCCTCGGGCTTGTACAGACCACCACCGAGACAGCGGGCACCACGGTCGGCCCAGCACGGGGTCTGACAAGAGAAGCCTGCCGACCCACAGTGGGCCATCAAATCAATCTGGAGCCACGGCAGCTTGTTTCCATTTCATAAACTGAATTTTACAGGCTGTGAGAATAAGTATAGTCTTAAAACGCCTTTGCTTCAGTTTGTGTGATTATGGCATGTGCCAGGTCTTCCGTGTCACGTGCGTCACTTACTGTGGGTCACAAAGTGGTTTGAAAAATCACTGTGGCGGGGTGGCTTTGAAGTCTATACTCCATCCCTCACCTCAAATCACTCATTTTGTGTGTGGTGGTTTTTTTTTTTAATAGATTTTATTTTATTTTAGTTTTTATTATTTATTTATTTATTTATTTTTAAGATTTTTTAAGAAAATTTCTATTTATTCATGGGAGGGAGGGAGGGGGAGGGAGAGAGAGAGAGAGAGAGAGAGAGAGAGAGAGAGAGAGACAGGCAGAGACACAGGCAGAGGGAGAAGCAGGCTCCATGCAGGGAGCCCGATGTGGGACTCGATCCCGGGACTCCAGGATCACACCCTGAGCTGAAGGCAGGTGCTAAACCGCTGAGCCACCCAGGGATCCCTAGATTTTATTTATTTATTCATGAGAGACACACAGAGAGACGCAGAGCCACAGGCAGAGGGAGAAGCAGGTGCCCTGCGGGGAGCCTGATGTGGGACTTGATCCCAGGGTCCTGAGATCACACCCTGAGCCAAAGGCAGATGCTCAACCACTGAGCCACCCAGGTGTCCCCAAGATCACCCATTTTTAATCAGATGACTGCCCCAAATCAGTAGCCAGGGCTACCAATGCCAGTGAGGAGCAGCTCTCACCTGAGAAGCAGAAGCAAACAGCAAGGATCTAGGACAAAAAAGCCTTCTTTTCAGCCCCCTGCCCCAAAGTCAGCCCCAGGGGGTACCGTCACTCGATACTCCTCACACTAGCCACCTCAGGTTCCCCAGCTCTGCAAACTCACACTGCTGCTGCCCAGGGAGCCCAAGCAGGTCAGCAGAGCGAGTGATGCCATTGCTCTAATGCAGAGGGTGGTTTATGAATGTGTGACAGATGCTGAGCAGATGGAAAATTTCAGAAGGACCCTGGTGACTACGAATCCACAAAGGGAAAGTCAGCTGAGTCTTTCTTATACCATCACAGAAACCTCTGACAGAAGGACACAGGGAATCAAAGTCCCCAGGCAAGGGAGCACAGGCGTGGGGGCCCAGGTCACATTCAAGGCTCCCCGTTTCCTGCTCTGGGCACCAAGGGAACGCCAGCACATGCTTAGAAGGATGGATTTGTGGCACCTGAGATACGACCTGCTGCTTTGAGGAATTCTTTCAATCCATTGTTTAAGATGAATAAAAAGCCCACTGCCAGTGTCTGTAGATACATATTTTCATTAATACCTTTTACTTGGAGTACTCTATCACTATTTAACAAGAGCTACGTTTTTGCATTAAGCAGTTGTGTCTGTTTTAAGATCTCTCTTTAAATTCCTTTCTCAGAAGCCAAACAAATCTCTCTCGCACGCGCGCTCTCTCTCTCTCTCTCTCTGGAAGGCTCCCCTAGAACGGGAGATTACCTTAGAAGCAAGGTATTTCACTGCATCCTCTCTTGGCCTCTGGTTCTCAGAACTATCAGACCCAGATCCAGGGGGTGTTTTGGCTGTGTTGGTAACACCTGCAGAAGAACTCGGTGAAAGTAATGGGGTGAAAGGAAGATCCTGGGAGGAATCTGAAGCTGCAGAGAAAGAGGCCAATTTCATTATTACAATATCAGAACAGTGGTACAGTGAGACACTGAACATATTTCTTGATTAGACCCAGAGAGTATTTTAATAGGTAATGAGTGAACATGGTCCCAAATGTCAAAGTCTAAAGGGGAACACAAGTGTCCCTCCCAGGCCTGTATCCCATCCACCCAGATACTCTCCTGGCAGAACTGCTGTTTCTAGTTCCTTTTGTAAAATTCTTTTTGCTTAAAAAAATATCTTTCATAGCTCACTTGTTCCTGTTCACCATGTAAGAGACACTTTCTTTTAATGAGTTTATTAATAAACAAAATAAGACATGACTAGTCAAATATTTAGTTACTACATCCCATTTTAAGTTGGTTTTTATACTTTGGTAAATCCAGCATAGAAGACAAAGGCTGTGGAGAACAGGGTACAAAAGAATTGCGTACAGACTCCTCCTGGCTGCTTCCACCAGGAGCCTAACCCCCTTGGTTTTAGGACCCAAACTCCACTGTGCACCGGATCCAGGCTCAAAGCCCATACACAGAGGGAGACAGGCCTTACAGCTGGGAGAGAACCAGGGAAGAAGGCTGGCCTCGCCCCAGCAGATGGCTCCCTGTGTGCCAGGAAAGATGGGAGGGTTTAAACAGTTCACCCACATGTGCTAGCAGATCTGAAACAGCAGCTGGAAAACCTTGAGGAAAACCAAGAATGGGTTGTCTGTCCATACTTCCACTTGGCAAGTCCAGCTCTTTCCTCAGGGCTAGGTGCTGCTGGGTACCCCTCTCCCCAAGGGGCAACCTCAGGGCTGTTTATAGCAATGACTTGCCATCAGCTTTCCCAGGAGGAGTCAGACTCCAGGAGCACACAGAGGAGTGGGGGCACTGCTGTCCCTAGGAACCCGCTCCTGGTGCCTCCCCACTCCCAAGCCCTGTCCCTGAGAATTCACCTCCCTGGTGAATAGGTCATGGCCACGCACTGGGATTGATTCTACAGATAGGAAGCGTAAACCTGGCTTTCCTCATAATGATTTCCTGTAAGCAGAGCCTGAAGCCACGTGGTCAATACATGAGGAAATAAACACATTTTTTAAAACAAAAACAAAATAATGTCCTTACATTATATCATAAAGCAGACAAGTAGTTAAACATGCACATACTTTTAGGTGGTGAACTGGGGCTGCTGGAAGCAATCTGCCTCATGCGGCTTCCGTGGCAGCTAAGTGCCACCAACTTAGAAATGATTGCTGTCTTCCCAAAGCCCACGTTTCCAACAACCACGGCTCCTCTGTTTTCGGTCAGTTCTCTGTTCCTCAAGTTTTCTTCTATCTGGTGAAAGAGCCAATCCCTTCCCACAAACACAGAGTCTGTTGTTATGCTTGGTACTTCAAACAGCAGGGGTTTCAACAAAATGTCCTGTGGCTTGTAGGGAGCAAATCGTGCTTAGAGGGGGGAAAAAAATTATTTTAGAAGAATGTCATAATTTCACACACTGAAAAACTCAATTTAACATTGCTTCTATATTATACTTAGTATCTCCCTTTAGTTTTATGCCTCAAGAGGATCTGTAAGTATTTCCAATCTGGCTCTATTACTACTTCTGTAATACCTCACTTATAATCCCCTGTTGGTTTTACAAAGGGTCCTATTAAAAGGACTTGCTAGTTCTTTCACATCAGGACTCAGGGCAGACATGCAGAGGATTAGAGAAAAGAGATGCAAGTGGCCAAATCAGGGCTCACTGGTTTGTATAAGAGTTTCTAAGATAGGCTTCTTCCATTACTGTAGGGAAAGGTGTGTTCCTCGAGGGAGGACCCCAGCTCTCATGTCAGTGTGATGATGTGTGGCCCTATCAGGTGTGAGGTCTGAAGACCACCCAAATGTGCTTTACAAGGAGGTAGCCAATAGCCCAAAGAACTGAAAACAAGGCTGATTCTTTGTTGGTATAAAATTAAATTACCCTTCACTTCAAAGCACTGCAGAATTATTTTTCAACTCCAGAAATGAGTTGATCACGTTTTAAGGAAGAAGTCATTCATAGATAAACCTTTAGTGTGCTCACATACGCGCACACACATGTGCACGCACACATACATACACACATACGTGTCATGCTTTTAAATGAGCTGGCTTAAGCGCTGGTTATCCAGATCCTCAATGTTGAGTGAATGCATTCATTATATCCTTTATCACAGCAGATGCAAAGATAAGTACCTTTAACTTCCTGTGCCCTACCTCCGGCTGTATTGTGCCACGGCAATCTAATTGATGTTCGAAGAGGGGCATTTCTCTGCCCGTCTAAATAACTCAGATCTTCCAATTTGGTTGAGCTTGTCGCTGTAATATTAAACTCAAGTTTAGTCTTTTCAAAGTTGATTTTAATATCATACCCAAACTACTAAAAATTAGAAATCACTAAAGCAATTTCGTTCAGGCTTTCAACAAAATTTACTTCAAGGGAATTTTGGTTTTGCTTGCCCACCCTAGCTTATTTTTCCGGCAGGGAGGTTAACCAAAAAGTTGTAAAAACCAAGTGTTCCTCATTCTTAAAGTTGTGGTGGTGTGGCTGCCGGAATTCTCCATTATTCTTGGAAGAGATGGACTTCACCAAAAATTTTTATGAAGAAACGTGACCAGCAAGTGTCACTCTGTAAAGCTGCAAAACTTACAGCAAACACACAACACGGTACTAGAGTCTTCACTGCAGCTCTGGAGAGCCTTCTGTGGTTGCTGGAATTCCAACCTTGTTAATTAAGTGAACAGATTCTGCAGGACAATCACCACTGCTTAAACACTAAAAGCCAGCTCCTGACTGTAAAAGTAGCTATGCAGATTTCATCAGAAATAAATGTATTCCTAAACTTTAAATTTTTACGTATATATTATTTACTATATGTATTTTTTTTAATTCTGAAAGGAAGTAACATTTACTTCTGTTCAAATCAGTAAGACTCAAAGCACATAGGTACCAATTAAGATGCAATAAAAGTCTATTCGAGTATATATACCAGTTGGATTATAAAAACAACCAATACAAAATAATGTTGCTAATTCTTAGCAAATTTTAACAATAAATACACAGTACATTTTTGCCCTAGAAGAAAAAAAAAAGAACTTCCTCTTATTTACATATACATCCTAGGTCACGAGAGAATTTTAAATAAAATTAACCTGATTTGTTTGTGGGTTAAGTGACCCAACATGAGGTACTGTTGATCCTAGACATACAATTCTCTTCCAGGATAATAAAATAGAGGCATCATTTGAGGGTAAATGAGTGAGAGGGAAGAGCTGAATTCCAAGGGCTAAACTAAGGCTTCTAAGGACTGGTGAAATCATTAGTGGGACCAAGTTTCAAGGGAAAGAAGTTGGGCCATCCATCTGCTGAAAACCTTCTGGCTGCACAGCAGCCAGCCACTGACCAGTATCATCTGCTCAATCTGGGTCTTCCTTATTTCCCCTCTTGAGGCTTTCATTCTTTTCTTCCTCACTGTTGGCAACCCCCCATCCCCACCCCATTAATCCTTCATTCAATAAGCACCTGGGCAGCTCCAGGGCTGGCTCTGTGGTGGCATGTCCCTTCTTGCCGGTTCGCCAAAGGGCAATCCACCCCATGCCCTTCCCACTTCCCCAGTCCCAGGAGAGACATCTGACACCTTGACTTCACAACAGCATACGTTTATGCTCCTGTATCTTTTTGGTGACTATCCAGAGCCTATTTACACATCATGTGCATACTTATGTCAATACTCTACACAAATCTTTCCCATTAGAAAGACTCAGGTAACTCCCTATGTAGGAATTCCAAGTGAGCCTAATTTATGGGAATCCAATGGCAACCTCTAGCTACTCTCTGGGTCATTCACTACTAAGGTATGTGATACTTTCTGGAGGGCCACTGGGACCAAACTCATTACCCTGGGTCCCTACAATACCACCTCCTAGAACATACATTTCTAGGTTCCTGCCTTGGATCTGGGACTCTCCCTGGCCTCTGCAAATGCCCCTCTCCTCAACACACCTTACCATGAACACACCCACATGTTGGAGACTAAGGGACAAGTAGCAGCCACAGCTGTAACCTGTAAACCAAGTTCAGTTCAGAGCTGGAACAGCCACAAATATCTGACCTGTTGCTTCAGCCCTAGGGAATTCAAAGACACCTGGAGCTTCCAAAGGGCTTCCTATTTCCCTTCTTCACCTGACCTTGTAGAACATGACATTCAGTTTATAATTCTGTGACAACTGCAAGGATTAAGAGCACAAGACTATACCAAGGGCATTCCAAAGAGAGGATTGCAAAAAAGCAGCCCAGCTTGACACAGATGCAGGAGATGGTGAGGCTTCAAACACCTCTGTTTTCAGATTTCCAGTCACCACAGCTCTGGCTCTGAAGCACGCAACAAAGCGGCTTCACCCACTCTGCAGCTCTGATTCTTTCAAACAAGATTCAGATGCGGTGAAATGGACCCTGGCTCAGTGGGGCTGAAAGCCAGGAGCTGCCCACTCCCTCTGCTTTCTAAGCTGTTGTCAAGGCCACAGAAAGAGGCTCAGGTTGGGACGGCGAAGCTTCAGCTGCCTGCTTGGCACCCTGGGGCTCCTCACCCGGCAGAGCAAGCTCCTTGGGACCACATGCTGCCTTCTTGCACACGCGCACAGTAGAGTCTCAGACGTTACCAGCATGACAATTACACTCACTCTGGCATTCAACAATAAATGTTTCCAAAATCCTCAGCATGACTCAGGGTCGAGAAAAATCAGAGGTAAAGCAATAATTTTATTTGCTGCGATAAACCTACTGCTGGTATCCCTGTAGGTAAATTCTATACTTCTTGCACACACACACATGGTGTCTAACATCTGAGTGAGAAGGGTATTTTAAGATGCTATAGGAAAAGAGTTTTTTGAGAAGTGGGGTCGGGTGGAGGGAGAAGCACAAGAAAACTCTAAACTGAGCAAAAGGAAACACCTGTTGAAACACCACGGACCAACATATCAAAGGTAAATGCCATAAAGTCTAGGCAATAACCAGTTAGAATTTCAAGAAAACTGGCTGGTCATTCCATTTGCTGGTTTCTTGGAAAACTGAATACAGTGTCTGTGATCTACTTAGAAAGCATTTCAAAAGGAAAAAGAAGTTAGTCAAAAAGAGTAGAACCGAATCACCCAACTTCTAGATTATCTAAGATATCATTTTAAAGGCTTCTCATTCTGTTTTCTAACAAAGGAATGAGGCGTCCATGCCACACATCTGATGTGGTATAAAGAACCTGACTGCAGCATGTGAAACCAATTCCACTCCAACAAATATCTTTACAAAGAAAATCTCTGTATGCTAAAACAATCTCCAAGCCTAGTCAACTTATTTTTATAGCCTTTGACATAATAATTTTACTAAATTTACTGTACTAGACACAACAGTAAAGAAACAGCCACAGTTCTTTTAACAGGCTCACTGACAGTAAAGGCTGGCAACTTCAGGCACTTGTTTCCATACTCTCAACCACCACCACCCAGGGGAGAGGGGGGCCAGATCCCCTGGGGCAGCTGTGAACAGGGGCCTGGCATCATCTTTCCTTCACCTGCCAGGCCTCAACTCTGCCCTCCTAGGCCAAATTTAATTGATGTTTCCCAAATGGCAATTTGTGTTTATGTGGATCTTCACATGTAAATACTTCCAAGGGACTGCAATAAATGATCCCTGACATATTTTAATCCTTCTAACATTGAGGGTTGGGTACTACCCTGTTTGTGGCAGCTGGCCTTCTGATCAGTAGACAAGGTGCTACACACAGTCTATACAACCTGAATCTTTTATTCTTTTCAATGATAATTGGAAAAATCTTGCCATGACTTCTTAACTGAGTTCAGCTTCAGAGATACAGAAGGTGGGTAATGAAGACTCTCCTGGACTCCAAGCTTGTTAACAGATACCATGAGGTAAGGAACTTGCTTATTTCCAAAATAAGCTTTTAGTTTATAAAATTTGCAACACAGAAGAAACCAGCAAACCCGTTAGGCCAGGCAGCCACTGCTCAAAGCCAGAGGTAAAACCCTCCCACCATTCCACAGGAGGTCTAGCTCAAGTGTGTACATAGACCCTAATGAATGAGCACAGCTGAAATCAGAAAGCCTTGCTCGGTAATCACTGCAGTCTCCCTGGAAAAGCTCAGCTCATATCCACTGTCACTCCACGTGGCAGGAGACCACACAAAAGAGACATCAGGCAGAAAACATAACCCCAAATGGGGGGTGGGGGCTTTCAACACTATTCATGTATTAATGTGTGTCCTAATTTTTAAATAGCTTGATTAAATTGAATACAAGTTTGCTATTTTGTTGTAGTCAATAAAACTATCAAGTTCTGGGATCATACAAACGAGCCATTCATCGTACCTAGGTGGACGCGAGCTAAAACGCCTCTGGTGCAACACTCTATGCAGTCATCAGTAATGGGAGAGCAGTGGGAGGGCCTAAAAGCTTCTGGAAGAACCATCACTCAGTACGCATAACGTTCCTCAGAACTGCTCTCTGGTAGACACGCCAAATCCCTCTTCTGGAACAAGGCCATTTACTTCCTTTGAAAGTGAATTAGAGCTGCCTCTCAGAATTTCTCCATTAGGGCCACTTATGTATCAGCTGCTTCAGAGTTCCATTGAAAAAAAAAACAAAAAAACACGCCCAGAACCACCAGGCTGGCCTGCCACATCCCCAAGGAGCAGTATAGATAAATCCTTTGATGTAGGGAGCGAGGAGAACCTGGGTCTTTGTGTTAGGAGAGGAGAAACTTTAAGTGCTATGTTGGTAACAAACAAAGACTGAAACACTGAAACAAGTCATCTTCTAAATTCAACCCAAGAGCAGAGTTTAAAAACTCGGGACTGTAAAAAGCAGGCAGGACAGCTCAGAACCAGAGTTCCTTCCTTCCTCCATCCCACTGCTCTCCTTGCTTGACCATCACCCACTGTCAACTAGCAACAGTCACTCCTTGTGTGTCCTGGCCTTGCTCCAACGGCCCCATCCTGCTGAGGAGCATCCGCCTTACCCACTTGCACTCCCTGGATTGAGAGGCCTCACCTCCACTGCGTGTGTTTTAAGCTGTGAGCTCTCTTATAACTGAAGGATACAGAAAGTGGACCTCCCATCTGTATGATGGGCCTCAACTATAAAAAAATAAGTTTGTAAGTTGGATCAGAAATTCCTTGAGTGATAGTTAACAAACTCATTCTAAAGAAGAATTCCTGTTTACCAAGATGTAATAAAATGTGATAAATTTACTCAGGCTTAAAATATCAAAAACGAAGACAAGTTTTTGGCACTTTTTTCTTTCATACACAAAAGAGCCATATAGTCTAAATATTAGTTTTACAGAATTCCAGAGTGGAAGGATCACTTAATAGACCATTAAGGACAGCCTTATAATGTTTACAGATGAGTAAACTGAGGCCTAAACAACGTAAGTGCTCGACCCACAATTGCAAAGCTGGCTTGTGTCTGGATCAGATTCCCAAGTGGAGAGAGTAAACATGGGGCACTTTGGACCCACTGACATAATTCTTCTGGAGAGAGGCATGGCCTTACCTGCAACTGAGTTGGGCCGTGGCATTACTAGCGAGTTGGAGCTCTGAGAATAAGGGACCGGACCATCTCCAACTGAGGCTTCAGTTTTGGGCAGCACGCTCTCCGCTGACCCAGGGGGCTCCTCTTCTGCCACTGGGGAGCAATTATCTGCCCTGCGATCATGAAGCACTCCTTTCTGTACCCCTAACCTTAGGCTTCCGTCCTTATTCCATTCCAAACTGGAGCCACTCCGGTCATCATTTTCGGATGAACTTGTAATTGTGGCTGAAATGAGAGACCAAAATACTTTGAAGGAGGCCAGGCATAGCTGGGACTGTTGAGAGTTAACACAAGCACACTGCCCTCCCCGTGATCAATGGAAACTTTTCCAGTCCATGCAGATTTTTATCAAAGTATGTTTCATACAATATTTTGGTTAAATTAGAAGAATGTTTACTTATCAAGGAAAATAAACTAAGTCATTCTACAAGGGAGGGGAAAAAAAAGCTGGTAAGAATGAAAAAGCTATCTAAAAGTATCTGATTAATAGTAGATCTATGTAATTTAGAGATGATGTAGCATCTCTCTTTAACAAAGATAAATTGCTCACAAAAGAATTCATGTCTCGTTAAATTCCTTTGAACCTATATATATTTTTTTCCCAAATTAATATTTGTATACGGGGGGAGGGGACAAGGCGATACAACGGTTAATGCAGAAAAGATGCAGGAGAAAATTTATGAAAACAAAAATATAACTATAAAGTCAAGCAGAGAATTTGATCCTTAGAATTAAACTTAGTAAGGTCTGTTCAAAAAGAACCAGAGAGAGTGCCTTGACTTTATTCCTTTGGCAGCACAGAATAGAAAACCTCCCAGCACACAGAAAACACAAGCATGGGAAGGGATGCTGGACTACAGAGTTATAATTTAGCTTCTAAGAAAGAAAACCAGCATGGAAAACCACCTCGGCAAAAGAGGAGGAATACGACACAAGAAAACAGCAATATTCACCCTACATGGCTTCTACAGCCACTTCCAATGAAAACACTGGAGCCCCTGCAAGCACAGGTTGCCGTGGACCCAACACTGGCTTCTGTCCAAGAGCCACGTCCTCTGACCCTTTGTGGTCCCTGTTTGCATCCCCACAGCCCAGGCCTTTACCAGAGAGAGCCAATGGGGTGTGGCAAATCGGAGCGTATGGAGACCAGCACCTGGATTGAGCTACCCGCTATCAGCAGGCTGGTGAATTAGCTCCAACAGCCTGTTATCTAGAATCAAAGGGTCTGAGTTTTGTTTTGCTTATTTTTACGATGCTCTTTAAAGGTTCAGAAGTAAAGACAAAACAATTTCCTCGCTATGACCGCAGGATACTCTGTCACGATTCTAAAATGGTCTTTACTCCTGCTGCTCCAGTCTGGACTCATTATCCACGGCTTGTCTCCCTATTTAAAAATCCTTCCCAGGCAGCCCGGTGGCTCAGCGGTTTAGCACCTGCCTTCAGCCCAGGTCCTGGTCCTGGAGACCCAGGATCGAGTCCCCCATCGGGCTCGTGGAGCCTGCTTCTCCCTCTGCCTGTATCTCCACCTCTCTCTCTGTGACTCTCATGAACAAATAAATAAAATCTTAGGAAAAAAAAAAATCCTTCCTGCATGCTGAAGCCTCAGACTATCTACCTCGATCTGGTATCTTCTTTCTGAGCAGCACAGCACCTGGCACATACTAAGTGCTCGACAAATATTTGCTTATTCAATGAAAAAGAAAATGAACAAACTTCTCTTCCAACTGGGGTCAGAGACACTACACTTAATCTCATTGTTATTGATTCAGGACTTGATATCCTGTCTCTATCCACAATCTAATCTGGGATAGGCCCATCACTGGGTGTCCGCCCTTACCCCCAGCATTTATTTCTAAGTATTCTATCAACAGTATTAAAACTGATTTCTCCATCTATTTGGAATCCATCACAGTCTTGTGTTTTATCAAAGGGACCATTCATATGAACATAAGTATATCAAGTATGACTCTTTCCACCCTGAAAATGCTGGTGGTGGTGGTGGTAATGGCAGCCACTAACATTTACTTAAGGTTACTATATGTCAGGGACTATGCTAATACTTTATAGGAATATTATAATTTATTAATGAGATCACTACTTATTAATAATTATGGATGGAAACCTTATTAATAAGTTGTGATTGTGATTGTTACAGGCCTTCATTTGTAAGTCTAGTGTTCTGGACTCAGAATGCTTTTCCCATAGACATCATTAGGTTCCCTCAACATCTAAGTTACAGGAAAAGTGCCAGCATGGGAGTGATTTGTCTGGTTTTATTTTGTGGCTGTTTTACTTTGGGGCACATGCTCTTAAGGTGCCCCAAATGTCCTCATTTGGGTACTCAATCAAATGGATGTTTCTCCTCATTTGCTTTCCCTAAGTGCCATGCACTTCAGAGTCACACCCCAAGGATCTCCTAGGCCGGACCTCAAGCATTGGGCAGAGGAACTGAGACTTCCCTACCTCCTGTTCCAGGCGCAGCATTATGGAACAGGGGAGGCCTGGTCAGAGGTCCTAGATGGCGGGCACAGGCCGAAGGTCCTGTTCTTACCGTACAGCCATGAATGCTGGGCTCCTGATAAGGAAAGTTTGGGAGGGGGGCACTCAGCTGCAGGAATGGTAGGGAACAGAAGTCTAAGACAGGGCTCGGTTTCAAAAGGAGGGTAAGTTAATATCGTGTATCTAAAGAGGAGACTCCCAACTGCCCTCATGATGTTCAGCTAAGACACACATTCCACTGTCCAGGTAGGTGACAGGTTCTCAAGCCCGGCGCCCTCCCACTAAGATCGCCCCACTCCACAAGCCACTGCGAGCCAGTGCCAGATGCAGCCTCCACGGCTTGAAGCCCCTCAGTGTGCCTCTATCTTAGTTCAGGCACAGTGAAGAGTGAAGCCCTGATGCAGATTCGATGGGGTAGATGGAAGGCCCAACACGCACAGTCTCCTTGTATGACCCAAGAGACACACAGAACAGGGCAGCTCCACGGTGGCCAAGAAAAAGAAGCTGGTTCCTAAAACTAATGACAGGCTACTCAAAAATACTTATTTTTCTTCCAGGTGAACAAATTCAAACTCCTAATTAAGTTAGCCACTCGTCTTCAAGTTAACACACACACACACACACACACAAATACAGCAATATCTTCACTGTGAGGACTTACAAAAAACCACCCTCAGAAAACTAAGTGATGTTTGACATTTTCTGGAGACTTGGATAATCTTTCAAGTTCCCTCACAACTCAAAATTCTAACACTTTATTCCATCAACGAGTACAGATGCCAGCTCTGCCAATTAAGACTTGCCATCATCATTTAGACAGGGTCTCAGCCACTCTTCCAACACACAGTATTCTGTTAAATGAGTGATTTATCAGGCCTCGAGTTTTATTGAGCTAGGAGGCTAGGCTCCACGCTTCTCACTATTTAGAATTACTTTAGGTTTGGTCCTGCTCATTGATTCACACGTGCTACTTCAGACTCTCCGTATCGTTTGAAAACTCCCTTTAACCTGGAGTAAATGGCATGTTTAACTAGACCTACTAGTGCACAAGGCTACACTACTTCCAGAGCACGTTCAAGACCTATTTGGACATATGCATGATCACCACAACCCTGGACAAGAGGTGGACAGGCTGAGAACCATCAACCCCACTTTATAAATACAGAACAGACTTGGGAGAAACTAATCTCTTTCCCTATATCTTTTTTCTCCCCTACCCCACTCCCCCAACACACAGTTACTGGTACGTCTAACACCAGCCCCTTTGACGGCCCACACACCACGTATTAAAACTCCCTTTGCCTTACATAGCTCTCAACCAGAAGTGTCTGTGACTAAAAATATTCTGCAGTTCCTTAAAAACAGTAGCCCCCCAGGCAGGGGCTAGTGGAGGGAAGCCAGTCCTGACAGTAGCCAGGATGAAGTTCCTGGCTGATTAGGAGGTGGGAGAGACAGACTACTCAGTCATTAGATGCTTTACTATATAAAGTACTGCAATAAAACTACATGCCTTCCTCCTTCCCGGCTTTCCTGCACCCCCTTCTTTGCCCATTGAAGGTTCTTTCATATATTGAAAGCATAGTTAAAATGTTTGAAAAACAGTGTTAGGTTCAGGACCCGGTAAGCAGTTTGGTGGGATCTAAATCAAGTAATAGGTTTAAAGGAGCATTAAGAAGAAAATTAAAACAACTACACTGTCAGTCCATAATTGTTAAGGAACTAAGGGCCACTGACATCAAATGGATACTGTACAGAGGCGCCTGGGTGGCTCAGCTGGTTAAGTATCTGCCTCCATCCTAGGTCGTGATCCCAGGTCCTGGGATGGAGCCCCATGTCAGGCCCCCTGCTCATTGGGAAGCCTGCTTCTCCCTCTCCCTACTGCTCGTGCTCTTTCTCACTCACTCAGTCTCTCTCAAATAAATCTAAAACAAAACAAAAGGATACCATACAGATAGAGCAGAATTCATCGGCCTTTGAGATGAAGAAAAGAGGTAAAAAGTGCAAAGAGCTTGGGTTTGAACCTTGGTTTCTCCTCCTCAAGAACCCACAAGGGGTAAGTCTCTCTAGGCCAAGTACTAGGAATGGGTACATTTTTGTCTTTAACTTACAAACATTATCATCTTGTGTGTTTGAATTTCTCTTTATACTGGCTACTAAGATTCATCAAACTTTCTACCCACTGATAAGCAAAATGAATAAAGTCTTACCAACCTGACTCCCAACTTCATCTTTTCTCTAGTATTTTTATTTTTTTTTATTGAAGTATAAACGAATGTTACATTAGCTTCAGGTGTACAATATAGCGATTCAACAATTCTATACATTGTGCTGTGCTCAATGCAAGGGTAGCCACCCTCTGTCTCCATACAACGCTACCACAAGACCACTGACTACATTCCCAATGCTGTGCCTTTCATCTCCAGGACTGACTCATTCCTGAACTGGACACCTATACCTCCCACACCCCATCCCCCTACCTACCTCCCCCCTTTCACTTCCTCCTACTTTTTTTTTTTTTAGTTTTTTTTTAAGATTTTATTTATTTATTCATGAGAATACACAGAGAGGAGAGAGAGAAGCAGAGACACAGGCAGAGGGATAAGCAGGCTCCATGCAGGGAGCCTGACGTGGGACTCGATCCCAGGTCTCCAGGATCACACCCTGGGCTGCAGGCAGCACTAAACCTCTGAGCCACTGGCGCTGCCCTTCCTCCTACTTCCTTTTCC